AGTACGTCGAATAACAGCAGACATCAAGTCAGCCAGTCCAAGGTTCAAGGCCCAGATTTGTTCACTTAAGGTGTGTGCACTTAGGCAAGTTACTTAATTGCTCAGTGCCTCAGTTTCCTCAACTGAAAACATGTCCATAGTCATTGTACGTACCTCATAGGGTTGTGATAAAGTTTAAAATGAGTTGAAACATGCAAAGTGCTTAGAACAAAGTAAGCACACAATACACATTAGATATTATCATTCAAAAATAATTTTATGTACTGCGTGCACATACACACTTGCACATACTTTGTTTTTAGTCTTTGTCCTTTTTTATTTTCCCTTTAAAAAAAAAGAGAGAGATCTTTTACTTTCCGTTCTAAAGCCTCTAGCAGTTAAATGTTTGCCTCAAATTGTGGCCATCATACTGCCCTCATGGCTCTTAAGCAGAATTCAGGCATAAACCACCGTTTCAGGTTTCTAAGCCTGCACAGTGCTATCAAGTGAGACCAGTCCAGAGAATGCACGTTTGGCTCTCTTTCCCCCTTCTCCTCTTTTACTCCCCTATTATGTGAGTAGACAACTCTACTCCTTTCTTCACCTCCTCTTCCCCTTTCTTCTTCTTCCCTTTTTTCTACTCCCTTATTTCTTATCTTGACCTTCTCCATTGTGCCCCATAGGAGCTCTATAAATATTTGATAAATTAAACTGAATGTCACCTCCTTTACTGAATGGGCATTTCCTTCTGTACCCCCACCTATCCTGAGCATCTAAGCAAACTCATTTAAAGCAGGTCTGTCATTCAAGAAGGCAGAACCCCAAGGGGTGAAGAGAGAAAAGAGATTAAGGAAGCTATAATGTAATTGTTTAACCGTTAACCCCTTTATATTTATTTAATCTGATAAAGCATGTTCCTCTATAAAAAAGAAATAATTACATTTGTAAGGGGGGGAAAGAAACATCCCATATTATAGAAAAGGTTAGACTCTTCAACCAGAAAGCCAATAAACAGACATGTCATAGGTGATAAGCAGTACTGTTAAATTAAATAAGAGCTGGAACCAAGATAACATTTTGCTCAAGTTTGCCATCAGCAAACCAAATCACAACAAAGTGAAATCTCTAGAAATTTGTCAAACATTCTCATTTTGGTGCAAGGAAAAGATATCTGAGCGGCTACGGCATTAGCTCTCAGAAAAAACATTAAAATAATTTGACAGTTAGGGCTGGTTTGGTTCAATTAAACAGGTTCTTCAGTGCACTTTCCTCACATGTAAGACTGTGCTAGGGGCTATGAGGGACAGGTACACAGACCACACCCTTGTATATTGTGTGACTAGATGGAAAGACACGAGTTGGGTGTGAGAATACACAACAGTTTTGGTAATTCTAGGAAAGCAACCATCATCTTGATAGTCAAGGAAGGACGAGAGTGTGAGAATTGAGTTGAATGCATAGGATATGAATAATCTGAGAGGAGGTGGAGGCTGCAGCATGAAAGCAGAAATAAGCAATATGTGTACAAGCCCTATGAGGAGGCAAGCCTGGCTTGATGAGAAAGAGCTGCTGAAGTCATTGGCCATCTGGCTGATTAGATAGACAGATCCAGGCAGATAAAGAAGGGCCTGGAGTGCTAGGATGAGGAGTTTGAGCTAGTTCCTGTAACAATAGGAAGCTAATGAAGAGGTTTGTCATGAGATGTTTCTGCAAGAGAACTCCAGTAGCTGTGTAAAGGATGGATTTTAGGATGTAGTGACCTGGAAGCTGAGGGAAACTGCTGCAGTCATTCAGATAGGAAATGATAACTCACTGTACTAAGGCAGGCTGTACTGCACACTGCAAGAGTTTCTCAAAATATGGTCAGGGGCCATCTGCAACATAATCAGCTGGGGTGACTGTAACAAATGCAGATTCCTGAGCCTCACCCCACACCTACTGAATGGAAATCTTTTTTTTTTCTTTTTTCTTAATTTTATTTTGCCGATATACAATGTGGGTGATTATTGTGGCCTATTA